CATTATCGACTTTAATGCCATAAACCGCCACGGAACATATGATTTGCAGCTCCCTGGCGTGATAGCTGCCAGTAGGGCTCCGGAGTGGGAGTCATGAAGTCGGTCGGAGTTGACAGTTCTGACCTGAGTCGTCGAGTCGGAGTCAAGTCGATATTAAAAGCTGGAGTCTGAGTCACCGAAATTCGATCCCCTCCACAGACCTTTCAGGGTTCCGTAGTCGGAGTTGTAGTCGGTCGGAGTCGACAGTTCTGACCAGAGTCAGAGTCAGAGTCGATTTTGAAAGCCAGAGTCAGAGTCGGAGTCGGAGTCACCAAAAATCCATTGCCTCCGCATGGACCTGCTAGGGCTGTGGAGTCGGAGTCGGTCAGAGCCGACATTTGAAATCAAAGTCAGAGTTGATTTTTGAAAGTCTGAGTCAGAGTCGGAGTCATCAAGAAACCCATGGACGATCCGCAGTACCATGCAGTAAGGGTTAGGGCGCTGCCGATCGATGCCCTGAATTGCCTAATTATGAATTGAATGAATAGATGGCAATTAATTAGGTACCTTCTATTATTCATCCCTTGCCACTTGGAGGACTTACTTTCAGTAGAAAAAGACGCATTATTTGTTTGTTTATTTATTGACAAATATTTTTTGAGCAGTTAGGGATACAGACACAAAAAACAATGATAGCACCTCGCTGGTGCAAATCATTGCTAGATAGATGTTGAAATGTCCCAGTAAACATGCCGACGTCGGGCCGAGGCTCGGCCCGACGTCGGCCCAACGTCGGTTCAACCTCGGCCCGACATCGGCTGGACGTCGGACATGCCCGCATGTTCCGACGTCCAGCCGAAGTCCAGCCGACGTCGAGCCGACGTCGGGCCGAGGTCGTTTGCCGAGGTTGACGAGATCGTTTGTCGTTGGACCGACGGGGCCGACGTCGGCATGTTTATTGGGACAACGCGCCAAAAATATCAACCGGCGGCGGGATTCGAGCCCCCCAGTCGCCGACGTCGGCATGTTTACTGGGACAACACGCCAAAAGCACCAGCCGGTGATGGGATTCGAACCCAGTATCACTTGAACGCGAGTTTAGTGCGCTAGCCACTACACCACGCAGCCAGATAACGAATTTAGTTTGTTTTGTTGGGTTATGCCCTTTCGGTCTGACAAGACCATTTCAGAGCCGGAAGGATGATTGGTCTTCTTGGCGAGCACCCTGGGTCCAGTTCATATAGAGTCCCTGGTCCCATTGCTGTTACGTGACACTTATTGGAAAGGGCGACCCCACAATGGATTCATATAGCCACTCTTACACACCTGCACCAACGTTTCCCAAAGTGTCCCTTTGATTAGTGGCACTTTGGCAAAGTGACACTTGCCGACTGGCCTTTCTATATGAACTGGGCCCGGCCCTGGTGAGTTGCCGGGGCTGAGCCTGACCAAAGGATAGGCCGAGCAGCCCCCAAGCACTCACCGCACCCGGCTACGGGCGAGCTCGGCTTACGGGCAATCCCAAATGGGATAAAGTTTCCCGTCCAGTCCGGATCAGGGGGTAGCGGCGTGGAGGAAGATTTGAGTTTTCTGAGGATATTTTGAATACAGAAGCTCTTTATGAAACATGAAACATGAAACATGTATTTTATATTATTTTAACGGTCAAAGCAGCGGCCGATGTCGGTCCGACGTCGCCCCGACGACGGCCCGACGTCGGCTGGACCTCAGCAATTGATCTCGGTCCGACGTCGGCCCGACGTCGGCTGGACCTCGGCTGGACGTCGGAACATGCGGGCATATCCGACATCCAGCCGACGTCGTGCCGAGGTTGGACCGACGTCGGGCCGACGTCGACATGCCGATGCCGAGTTGCCGACGTCACCCCGACGTCGGCAGACGTCGGGCCGACGTGGGCATGTTTACTGGGGTGTTGCCATTGAAGAATCTACTGATTTTCCTGGCGGTTCTCGTTTTCAGGTAACTACTGGTCTTGTAAGATCTCTTGATTGCTCACCGTCTGGCGTCTAGTTCCAAGGTTTTCTGAAAGCTAATCAAACGTTACCATGACTGCTCTTGATGGCATGGAGCTTGCTGGTTCTGGGTTCTTAATTGGTGGTTCTTGCGTCTGATCCTGTTGCTTCATGTTCCATCACAATCACATCACATTAAATTTCTAATGGAACAGACACTTCTACCATTTATTTCACTATCAGTCGACTTGCATTCTGTGGCCTGCTGGCCCTTTTATTTCCACGATAGAATCTACCAATTATTGAAAAAGCCTCGGATAAAAAAGCAAGGAAAGTATGTCAAGTTAAATAATTGCGACGGTCCTAGAAAACCAGAAAAAATATCAAAAAGCCTGTCCATCTCACTTCTCTCACTTCATAACAAAAACCACGCAGCAAAACATGCGAAAGAGTCCTTAGCAACGCCTTAGCAACGCATTTGTCTGAAGTGCGCAATATGTGTCACATCTGGAAAATTCAGTAGCTACTTGATTATTCAACTAGAGTTGGACTATATAAGCTAGACTTTTATATAAAAAATAAGTGTTTGCTTATCGAATTTATAGCAACTGGTTGCTTAACTTCGAAATAATGATTACGGAGCGAGCGAAGCGAGCGTAGTCTTTCCTTAGATTAACGGAAATTTCTGAGTATGAGCGGCCGGCCGGCCGGCCGGCCGTGGTCACGCTTTTGCGAGGCTTATATCTCAGCAACCACTTGACCGATTTACACGCGGTATTTTTTGTAGGGTAGCTTCATTCCTTCTACCAAGTATTGGACTATTCCCGATGCATGTGGGTGACCCCTTATGCACGTGCCACGTGCAAAACGAAGAGGTGTCAGTTTTGTAATTGTTGCAATATCTCGGTAACTACTTGGCCGATTGCGCTGAAAGTTGGCATGCAGGTAGGCACCCACTAGGCACTGCATATCCATGTGCCAGAGTTGGGGTGCTGTTGCACGTGCGCACGTGCAGGGGTCGATTCCAGATCTCGAGAACGGCTGGACCGATGGCGCTCAAATTTGGTACATGGTTAGGGACCGGTTAGTAGGGTGCCGTGCAAAAGTCAGTTTGAACCCATTTTGCACGTGCGCACGTGCAGGGTGTCGCTTTCAGATCTCGAGAACGGCTGGGCCGATTGTGCCCAAATTTGGCACATCGCTAGAGACCAGTTAGTAGGGTGCCGTGCACAAGTCAGTTGGAGGTACCTCCTCGCAATTTCGCACGTGCAAGGCCCACCCTCTCGCTCGCTCCGTTAGTCGCCCCAAAAGGCGTTATACTGGTTTATTACAGAAAAAGCTTGTTTGCGACATATTTGTAAAGAAACAACGGAAATAGCTTTGACTCGTACGCTATTCTAGTACATTTTTGGTAGAAAACTTCGTCCAACCTTATGTTTTAGGGCCTTGGTGTCAGGCACCTGCTGGAACTTGGCAGCAGTGCACGGGTTGCCTACTTCTTAGATAGGAAATCAAAGGAACCACGCCCTTCGGTCCGGAGTCTGTCTTGTCATCGTCAAACAGTTGCAAAACCATATTCCTATGAGCGTTAGAAAAGTCGAGATGTATGAGGCATGCAAGGCCACTCATAGAAAGCTAGATGTTGGAAGATTGACAAGGATGAGAGGCGGCATAAGCGTACCAATATCGTTATGATATTTTAAGTCTGGAGCGAAATAGAGTTATCTGGCGCAAGAGGTGCGAACTTCACAAATTTATGCATCTTGTATCATCGTCGTTTGCAATGACTCACAGGCCATTGCAATGCTTATCACCTGAGAAAACTATGGTATTGGCACACCGTATGTTGCAGCGGCGAAAATTTCATAGAAAATATTGGAGTGCTATGCCCACTGTATCATATCTAGTATCCCCAAAAATAGGGGGTCCATATCTTTGACCCTGAAAAAGTTGCGATGTTTTGCAACATACTATGATATATGTTGAACATTTGTCTCACAGTATGCCAAGTTTCTTTCCAAATAACTAATTTTTTGTTTTCTAAATGCTTAAATTTACACTTGCATCTCAAATTGATTTTCGGCAAAGGACAAACTGACCTTCTTCAAAATCACCTGGTGGGAAACTGAGAAATCATTACTTAAAAATTTTGCCACCAGGTGGTTGCCAAGACGTACCACTTCTGATACAGCAGGGTTTTCAACAATTTTCACCGCTATGATTAGCAGGCGAATTTTCTGCAAATTGACTTACAGATATGATACCGGGGGCACTAGAGGGTTAAACAGGCCAAGGTCTGAAAAATAAGTGGCCTAAAAACGGTGAGAAAACTAGATTCGGGGGTACCCTAGGTTGATGTCTATAATGGTTGAGCCCCCAGTCTTGAAGAAGTTCCCGCGCCACTGTATAGAGCATGACCAAATTCCCCCCCCCCCCCCGTTGAGGACTTTAAATTTTTTTCTATATTAAACTCCATCTGTCATTCTCGAGTCCAATCATGAAGAGTGTTAAATCCAATTGTAGTGCTTTCTTGTCATTTTCGGAACTAATTTCCCTTGCTAACTTAATGTCATCGGCAAACTTCCAAAGTTTGCTTGTTAGCTTCGAGTCTATCAAATTTACAAAAATGATGAACAATAAAGGGGCTAGGATTGTACCTCGAGGTACACCACTTCTAACATCCTTCCAATTCGTTTCGTGTCCGTTAAGTATTACTCTCTAGTCTCTGTTTACGTGCTAATAACCAGCTCTCAATCCAGTTAAGTAGAGACCCGCTCAGTCCATGAATTTCTAATGAAGTTAGTAATCGTCTGTGGGGAACTTTATCAAAAGTCTTACAAAAATCTAAGTAGACCATTGGTACATTTTTACCTCTATCTACAAGGTCTGTTACATACTCAAGGAAATCTAATAAATTTGTCAAACATGAGCTTCTAAACCCATGTTGAGATGGCAGCAGAGGGTCTTCTCGCTCCAAATGTGCCAGTATGTGTTTTTTTTTTTAGTTAGGTATGACTCACCTGTTTGTTAGGGATATGTTTGCCTCACCTCTTTGTTAGTGGCCTGTTTGCGCTGGTAGACCAGGTAGCGCAGAATGGGTCCGCGCGGCTCCCTCGGGGGTAGCCACGACACCAGCATGGACGTGGGCGACAGGGAGACCAGCTTTATGTCGGCCGGCGGGCCCGGCACTGCCAACGGGCGATCGTTTTCACAGGGACGGAAGGGGCTGCACTCAGGAAACAGTCCGTTCATGGGAACACAAGCCCCACGATGTTTCAACGCAGACGCTACGATATGAATCAAAGAAATTACAGGGTGTCCCGAAAAACTTCCCCACGAAGATTTTAATAAACCTTTAACTCGCGCCCCGTTGAGGTCTGGCAGGTTCCACGTCCTGTTGGGGGGGGGGGGGGGCAAAGGGCCCCCGTAACATGTCAAATAAAATAGCAAAGAATGCCGAGTCAAGTGCACCTAAAATGTACGTCATTAACAAAACATATGGTCTTCTATTTAGCTTCACAGTGTGGTAGGTTATTGTGGGACACCCGGTAACATAAGTGTAGCTCCACGGCAGTGAAACTGAAAAAAAAAAACGAAATCAGCAGCTGGAAAAAGCGACGCGAAAAATAGAAAACACGACTAAAAGCGAAAAAAGCGACTCTAAAAATCGAAAACCCCCAAAAAACGAAGAGACGTGTACATCCCAAAACTTGGTACACAATCGACATGTTACTTAGGCTACCAACATCATTTAGGAACCATCCACTATGCCATGCTTACGAACTGCTGACCTTCCCAATGCTTGTTGAAGGTAGACAGCTTGTATTTTATAGGCGACTGACGTCGGGTGAAAATGTGATGATCAAAACCATGCTTGCTAGTGACGTTGGTCAGAATGGAATGTTTTTCAGAGTTCATCATACGCTTCGGCGTAAATACGGACTAATTGATTGATAATTGATTTGTCCTCTGCTAGCCAAGCGAGCATCGTGAACATATTCACTGCTCATTTAAAGCGTGTTGTATTGAGAAGAGACCTAGATTAACGACAAGCGATGACCAGCGATCGACTGGAAGTCGAAAAAAATGTTATTAATTTATCGCACTGCGTAAGGCGGATGTTTAAGTGTGAGGGTATGGTGGGTGGGATGCGTTGTACTTGAAACTGTTGTGCATGTGCCTCTGTTAGTGCGAAATATATGGCATTTGTATTACAGTGGAATCCGCTTAATAAACCAACCCTGGTGATAAGGTGTTTTGGATTTATTAAGCGGTGGCTTTATTAACCGGTGTCAGCTATTTTCATTAAAAAAGCATGTATCACAGCTGCACGTTTCGTTCCCTACGCATAACAAGCGTATGGCTAAGATTTCTCATTGCCTTGCTTATTACAATGAAAGTGACCAGGGGCTCCACCACTGGTGGGGTCTCGGAGTTCCGGACCCCAAATAATTTGACGTTCGTAATGCAGCCTAGTGTATAAAGGCAGGTTTTAGGGTTGGACATGCCCCCGAACCTGCGACAGTAGAAACCGTAGTGCGGGGGCATGTCCCCCTGAAAGTGACCAGCGCACACTGCAAAGCTGGCGCAGCGATTAAGTCAACATATCCATCTACGACCTCTCCCCGTCATGCCTGCTATGCCAACGAGCATGCAGGCAGTCGAGGGTCCCTGCTTTGCGGGAACATTTTTCTGAAATGCACAGTAATTGCGCTCTTGACTGCCCTGAACTCCTGTTTTTAGAACTCCAACTGCTGCAGACCGCTGCTCCAGCGCAGTTCTTTAGGAGCGGGTAGGATGCCACATTTTGAATGGAGAAACGTGACTGCGGACTTGAGAGAACTTCCAAGTGGCTTTATTAAGCGGAGTACGTGGATTTATTAACCTTCGCCCGCACATGGGGGGGGGGGGTTGCCACCGCCCCCCCCCCCGGTAGTCTTTCTGCTCTGCACTCAACATTTTTAGAGCTAGAAGTCTGATTTTTGGTATAGCTGCTCCTCTATCCTTTCTTGATGTTCACTGATAATTTCCAGTTTCTGTGGTTTTTGGTTTCGGAGGTATGACCCTGTTTTTCAGGTCGTGTCATGACCCAAATGGCCAATTCGCAACATCTTGCGTTGGCTATGGGCCTTGTGAGCTTTTGACACCTTGATTTCGGCCCTTTTTGCCAGTCTTACCTCCCACCTATCATGGAACATGTTGTTCGACGATGTACAGATGTCAAGGTCAGGGTCAAGGTCAACCTAGGTCATCTAAAATAATTGCGTTTTAGGCAAGCTGAATTTACTTTTCGTGAAGTTTTTTGGCTGCATTTTTGGTAAAAGCTTCTCATCATCATTTCATGTAATATGGACACATAAACACTCGGTGCACACATCAGTATACACACAGACACATACAGACATACAAACACATATAACTGACCTTCACCTAACTTGACCTGAAATGACCTCAGCAGCAAAATTCTGGTCGGGTAGTGTTACAAAGAGGTTCTAGCTGGCTTGGCACCAGAAAACGGCATCGTCATCGGTATATGATAAGCAGCGCACTTGATATCCAATGGTGACCCAAAACAGCAACATTTTTAGTTTGACCTGACCTGGAAGGTCAATGACTGACCTGAGAAGGTAAAACTGGGCATCATTGGATTCGTCTCTTCCCAAAGAATCGTTTTGGTCTCTACCGCGAAGCTTTATCTCCAACAGGAACGAAATGGCGCGGGGGGTGGCAACCACCACCATCCCCCCCCCCCCATGTGCGTTCTAGGATGGGAAAATGGCATGTGCGGGCGAGGGTTAAGCGGATTTGTTAAATATAGGCATGTAATCTTGAGTTTTTCGGCTTCAGCACGTGACGATGTCGTAATACTGATGCATGTTTCTAACAATTCACATTTCGGTAGGTACTCCTAATGGAAAGTAATTGCTTAACCCTCGCCCGTATTGGTGTTTTTCCAGCCGCGAACGTATAAGGGTCCGTTGGATCCCCCCCTTGCCGTTTCGCCCCTGATCGAGCTAGAGCTTCGCGGAAAAAAGAGCGTGTTGCCCGTGATGAGAGAAATCCGATAATACCCAATTTAACCCGCGAGTTGCTGGGGGGGGCGTTAAACGCCCCCACTTTTTTCGCCGGGCCATAGCATAAAAACGGCGCGCCGCAGGCGCGCCAAATTTTGGGTATCTGTAGGGAATTGATTAGAGTTTATTGTGACAAAGTTTCAAAAAAATCGGTCGGAAAATTTTTGAGATATCGAGGTTTTAGTGACGTCATGATTTCTGATTTTTCGACCAAAAACGGTATATGTTCAAAAAATCATATAAAATCACAGAATAGACATACAGACATGCCGTAAACGCCATTAGACTGCCAATACCATGAACAATCAAATGGCTATCTTCGATTATTGATTATCGTTCCGCATTTTCCAAAATCTTGAACTGAATCTTGGCAATTTCTCGTGACTACTTCACGACCATAATACGTGTATTTCTTAAATGGAACTTTTTTAGCCAAATACGTACACATATGATAAAATGAATGCCACCATCGTGTTCTACGCCCCAAATTACCCTTAAAACATGTGTCACAGGCTGCGAATATCAGTTTTGATTTTCGGGGATATGTGCCTGCCCGGTTGACCTGAACTTGACCCTGACCTATGCTTGACTGACCCCTACATGGAGCTGACACTCTTGTAGGCCTTATATGATGGATTGTGCACCGTTTTGACAGAGTTTATGACGAGAGGCGCCCATTGCGAAGTCCTGAAGTCCATGCTACTGAAAGCCCGATTTCAGGTGTTTGACCTGACCTTGACCCGACCTGTGACCTCAAAATTCAATTTTAAAGTACTCATCTGAAGCGTCTCGTCGCGTTCTTTCGTTTGCCGCCTCGTGCGTTTCGCTGCGCCTATTGGTTCTCGAGTTATCGGCTGGGGGCGTTTAACGCCCCCCCCCCCCCCCAGCAAACGGTGGGTGGCGAAATACCCCAGCAACTGCCGGGTTAAAGGTCCTAGGTCATTGGTTGACCCTCCAGGTCAGGTCAATGACCCAAAAGTCGGGAAAATCGGGACCTGTTAGATCGTCTTAATGTGTGGCTGCTATAAAGTTTTTCGGGGTATTGAAACGAATGTCATGTTAGATTTGATCACAAATGATGTCTTTATGCATTAAGGCCAAGTCGGGTCAGGTCAGGTCATGTCAACCAGTAGGGGTCCTGCCGGGTATTCGTAGTAGCCTCTGAGGAGCTTCGTAACATGTTACGAAGGCACCAAAACCACTTTGTAAATGTTAATATGGTTGCTAAATTTGAATTCAGCTCCAAAACCAGGCCTAGAAATATGTAAAACTCCAAAAAGTGAACCGAGGTCATCAAAGGTCAATGACCTGACCTGACCTTCAAGTGACCTTGACACCCACCCTAATGCATGGGACCAACATCATTTCACATGTTTGAACGCTTGAAACCACGAAAAGACCATACGCCGAATCGCGATTCCGGCCAAACATGGTCTCGAAAAGTAGGTCACAGGTCAAAGGTCATTTGTGTTAGGATCATGCAATTTTCAGGGTAGGTGTAAAATTGATCAACTCAAGGGTACTGAAGGTTTCGTCGCGATTGGCCGATTTTTACACGAGTTATTTGCGAAAAACCGAGGGGAGAGGGTCCGTTCGACCCTCCCCCCTACACGGGCGAGGGTAAATGATCAGTTTAGGCATATGTTATCCACGTGAAAGGATTGAATAGCGGTGAATTGCAAGAGATATATGCACGCGTTTATTCCATATTTTGCAAAAACTGTTCATCCATGCTACTCGACTTCTATTCACCCGCACCCTGTTGGGGAGGGATGTTTGAACAACCCTGCGTTTTTTCACTAATATCTTTAAAAAAACGGTGACGTTTCGCGGAACCGTTTTTGGCACACCTTATCACGCATCTTTTATACACATGTTGTGAAAATTTCATATCAAGGTCTCTTAAGGTCAGGTCACCACGTCACGTCAAGTAACTTCACCTCAGAAAACGTTCCACTGCTTGCCATAGATACACCTAACGGATCGCTTTGAAACTTTCAGAAATTCGTAAGAATTAGCAGTATGTACAAAATGTGTATCACATAATTTTGATATCGGTCATCTAAGGTCAGATCAATTTTGCGACCTTTCCATTACCTATCTATAAGTCAACG